CTCTGGCTCTCTCTTTCTCTTTCCCTCTCTCGATTTCCGCCGTTATTTTCCATCTTCCATTGTTATCGCGCCGCGAAACAAAGGTAAACGCGAGTCACGCGGTCGCACGAAAATACCGTAAGACGGGCTTAATGGTGCTGGCGCGTCGCCAAAATCGCGCCGCGGGCTCGAATACACCGATTGAAATGTTCATTACTGTCGCAAATCATCCGGCCGACCCGCGGAAGGAAAAGCTGGCTGTGCTCTGCACACAATAATACGAGAAATCGTCCGAGCAATTCAATTCTCGCTCCGTGGCAACGAAAAGCAGGTCTCGATTAAATAAAGGCTCATATTGATCATCGAATCGATACTCGGATCGCACACGTTGCCACACACGGAAAACGGAAACCGTAGAAAGCTCTAAGATCGTCCTGTTCATGTGGAACAAAGAGTCTTAATTTATTCAAAGCCTTGACTAATTAAACGCTTCGCGGTGTACATTCTCTCTCTCTTTCTCTCTCTCTCCTTATTTCGAAAATTTTGTTCACTGAACTGTGATAATGGTCGAGTGATATAATTGCGACACGCCAGATTCAATACATACATTGAGAAGAAAAAAAGATGAAAACTATTGATTTGGTAGCTACTATACAGGGTGTCTCGCGTAAGACGGACCAAAAGAAAAATATAAGTAGAACACATAAAAGTGACAAAAAATTGTATAGTTCATTTTTCAAACAACTACGTAAAATTTCGAGATATTAATTAAAATAGTTGGACAAATTAGAACGCGCGATGCGACAGGCGAGACATACGGCTTGCAGCGGTCGGCGAAGAAAATGGAAGAACGCACACGTACACGGACGCACATACGGAGCTACTCATTTCAGTATGCCAAACGGCCCACTTCTCTGGCCTATAAGATAGACCCGCGAGCAATCATCCATTTTCTTCACCGGCCGCGGCGAGCCGTATGTCCCGCCTGCCGTGTCGCCGCGCTCTGATATGCTCAACTATTTTAATTAATATCTCGAAATTTTACGTGGTTGTTTGAAAAATGGCCTATATAATTTTTATTCACTTTAATGTGTTCTACTTATATTTTTCTTTTGGTCCGTCTTACGCGGGACACCCTGTATAATGATATATTTATTGAAATTTAAATAGATAGTTGCTTGCATGAAAAGGTACGGTTATTAGAGAATGTATATTTTTTTATACAAAAAGGATTCTTTTGTCAATGTAAGAATATGTATATCAGTATAAGTATGTCATCGAGTAAATATTTTTTATTCTTTAAATATTTTTTCTCTCAGCGTACAAAATCCGTATTCTGAATACTGTCTTCGTGCAAGTCTTGTACAATTTTATTGAGAAAATCAAACACATTTGTTCAGATTAGGAGAAGCTCTAGTCGTTAATTCCGTTTCTTATATCTAAAATCCGTAGAAACAGAAACTTGCGCCTCACGGGATATCGAACCAAGTGTCACGGATACGTTATCCCGAACTGAGCTTCCCATCACGGCTAATCTCTTGTTTAAAAGACAAGCAACATTACCTGTCACGATAATCGCGTGTCGTAAAACGAGTCCTCCCTCCGAGAAAAGTCGACGTCCGCGAGAAAGCGCAAGAGTTTCGGTTGCCCGTGGAGAAAGCCGCCGCGGCCATTGGAAGCAGGGATATCGACAAGCGTATCGAGCGTCACTCCTTCGATCGCTACGGCGCGGCGCGCGGTGGCGCCATCTGCCGCGCGGCACGCGAACGACGTCGAGTGAACGACCTCGCTCAATTGACGCGACGCGGGGACAGGTGCGGGCTCGGTGCGTTACGCGATGGAATGCGGCGTTTGTTTACTTCCGCGTTGTCGCCGGTCAGGGTACCGCGACCCACCCGAGGCTCGCCCGTCTCACTCCATCCCGGCTCGTCAGCGGGAGTTGTGTACACAGCGGAGCGGCGCTTGGCGATACCGCGAAGGACTCGAATGGAAGGACGCAGAGACGCGCGACAAAAAGCGATCTCCTCTCCTCAGCGCTTTGTATACCTTATCGATGACTCCGAAGACTCACTGTGTGGCCGCAGCCGAGAAAACATCGCGACGAACTCATATCGAACGACTCGACGCAACTACACGATGCACGCTCTACCTAACCCTAACCTAACTCTAACCTCTGTCTCTCAGTCGCGGCAGACATCGTCTGGACTTCCTTCCCTTCGTCCCTTCTATCGGTAACGGTAACGAGATCAATATTATTGATACTGTAGATTGCGGAATGTGAGAGTAATCTGTAAAAAGCATGTTTTCCCTCGCTCGATTGCACGAGCGTTGCGAATCTCATTTGTCGCCGTTATTTCATCGTTTCGTGGCGCGCGCGAATACCCTTTGAGTATCGCTCGGCAAACATGGCAAACAATCAGGTGGAAACTTTGGGACGAATCAATTTATTATACATTGTCAGCAGATATGGTTTTATTTTTTATTTTATGCTCCACTTTCTCTCTCTCTCTCTCTCTCTCTCTCTCTCTCTCTCTCTCTCTTGTGATCTCGTCACAAGTTGCAGTTATTATTCCACCTTGACGTGCTTTCATATTTTCGCAGAAATCTTAACGAGAAATATTAAAACCGCAGAATATTATTTTTTTTTAATTAAATAATTTATACACATTTTAAGGTTGAAATTTTCTACATTGTGAGAAAAAATGTTCAGTATTTTTAATTATATAATCACATAGAGAAATAATTACTATAAATTATGAAAAGCATTTTTTTTCTAATTCTACTACAGTGTTGCTGATATAACTTTATATGCGTGTTATTGCTATCATTTTCACGTTAAAACCATCGAGAAGTGTAGTTGAGGCCAAAGATCATTAAAATTTTAATTAGATCAACCATTTCCTTTCTCTCAGTGCATACATTCGTTGTATCTATTTTGTTCAACTGCGTTGAGGACGAATCATCGCGATAAATCCGCTCTCGTCGATTCTCGAAAAACGCGTCGTATCCGAGATGATAGACTAGACTTTTCTGGTGTTTATTATTAAAGTGACCAGATTTCCCAGCTCTAAATTCGGGACACTTCATAAATGTGTGAAGCGGGGGAAGGAGAATAAAAAAATCCGAAAATTATTTGACAATTATTGAAAATGATGACAAATAGATGTCCCGAGTAGCATGAAAAGATCGCAGACGCGCACGCTGTCAATCACGTACACTAAAAGTTCATTAGCGCGCCGAAAGTGCCAAAAGTGCATGAATGTGAACGCGCTAGTGATGCGAACGAGGTCGCGCGTCTACAACGACGCGGTCTACGGCGGACGCCTTAACCAATCGCATTCGTTTCGTACTACGAGGTTGTCATCGTGGTTATTCAATCTGGGCGTTGGTAATGAATCGCGCGAAATGCTCGATCTTTTCGCGCCAAGCAGCAGCCATGGGCACACATCGATCCATATCGCTCCGCGTTTCTCGCGTCTTTTATCCGTCGAAAGTCTCGCACATTAATAAGTCTCGGGAGTGTCGAGAATAGCGATGTGCGATCGCCGGCACATATCGTGAAGACGTCATTTGTAAGTAATCTTCTCGTTTCTCCTCGCGGCCGGTGCTTGTCACGATATGTCACGCCGACATCCCTTATATTTGCTAAAAACATCGACTCGCTCGAGTAGCAATAGAATCGAGCGATCGTCAGATTTATTGAACGGGAATCTGAAATGCGATGACAATCAGAGAGAAAGAGAGAGAGAGATATTCGGGCGGTTGCGACAGCTTGTTAGGAAAAGAGATATGAAGAAAGAAGTATCTCATAGAGCGCATTCTTTTCGGCCGCGGCATCGTTCATACGAGGGTGGTCTGAAAAGTTTCCGACCTAACAAAGATACAAGTCATTTTTTCTGAAAATTGTTTTTTATTTTTCAACATAGTCTCCTTGTAAATCTACACACTTCTCCCAGCGATGCTCCCATCTCTGTAACCCGTCGAAATAGTACTCGGCGTTTTTCTCTGCAAAATAATTGTTCACGAAGGTGATTGCCTCTTCATTTGACGAAAATCTCTGTCCTCCGAGCGCAATTTTTAGATGAGGGAACAAAAAGAAGTCGCTTGGGGCTAGATCTGGTGAGTAAGGTGGATGGTCAAGCAGTTCAAACCGTAATTCGTGGATTTTCGCCATGGCAA